GTGCAACGCTAACTAATCTAACACCAAAAAGAGATGGGACATGGCGTATGTGCGTGGAAAGTGGATCCATCAACAAAATTACCATTAAGTAAAGATTTCCCATTATTAGGTTAGTTGACATGTTGGATACATTAATTGGTTCTGAAATATTTTCCAAGATATATTTGAGAAGTGGTTATCAAAATATCATAATCAAGCTAAGAGATGAATGAAAGGCTGCATTAAAGACCAAGGATATGTTGTATGAGTGGCTAGTCAAGCCTATTGGCTTGTCAAATGCCTAGTGTAAGAGGATCTACCTAAATACCACCATGGATTCATGACTAAAACAACATTAACCAAACCCGCGGACTGAACGAAAACAAGATAAACAATTAAACCATAGAAATGGCATAAGATAAGAAAAATGAAAGATTTACTAAAAGTACCCCACAAACCACGTACACAAATAATAAAAGCATTGGAAAGGCTAACTATGACAATAGTTACGATTGTCAAAGTATATTGTGACATGTAGTAGGGTTAGTGAACAATGAACGAGATGAATATGTTCCATGAATCACAACCCGACACACATCACCATCCTAACTGCTTCAAAATTCGCATTAATAACAAATGGGTGAGATTTCTGAAATCCTCCATAAATGCACATATGAAACCAACTCCATTTTTCCTTATAAGTAAGGGGTCTTGGGCTATAAAAAAACACATTTCCATCTTTGGAGAGACATACCGGAGACCAAAACATTCTCCTAGTTATGATCTCACTTCTAGAGCCCTTGTTACCCTTTTCATTTCCTGTTCAAACTCTTTTAACATCCTTTTATCCTTTTACATCCTATTCACGTTTCCAAAGATAAGACCCCTTCTACTCCCCTGGCCTTACACCAAGAGTGTTGGCGAGAAAATGAGAATGGTCTCCAAGTGAGTATGTATCAAGCTCCAAAAAATGACCCAACCTGTCACCATTTTGATAGCATTAGGATTCTGGGAATCTGTATTATAAACATGGAAATCATTGGCCAAAGGAAAAATCAATACTCAAATGGTGTGTAATTTTTTTGGGAGATCAAATTTTGTTTTGAGTTTAAAAGAACCCTTGCTAGCTATTTCAAGGATCTTTATGAAGATTTAAAGATCAAATTCAATCAAAATGTATGGTGCTTTTCAAATTCTTTTTTTTTAGTAATTAAGAGGATCTCATTAAAAAAACTCCCAAAACAAGGGACAAGAGAATACCCACACCCCAGGTCAGGGTCGTGGCCAGCTTATGGGCCAAAACATTACAATCTCTCTTAACATGAACAAAACAAACAGTAGTGCAAGAAACTAGGGATAGAATATCACACCATAATGCCCCTAAAGGAGAGAAAGGGATAGAGGTAGCATTGTTTAGAGCTGAAATTGCTGGCTAGAATCAGATTCTATGATGACTTAAGGGAAGTTTGCCAAGGCAATTTCTGCACAAGCTAACAGAATAGCCAATGCTTCTACATAGAGGGCAGAGGAACAGTGGCACAGACTTCCACGACTCCATATGATTTCTCCTATGTGAGGTTGGGCAATATAGGCTAGAGATGCCTTACCCAGGTTGTATCAAAACTGGCGTCACAATTAATTTTCACCCAACATGTTGGTGGAGGGTTCCAGTACGAAGACCAGACTAGACTAAGTTGTTGAAGAAATCAGGATCAAAATTGTCTAAAGAATCTCAGTTAAGAACCGAAAAACTTTTAGGGCTGTTTGTCTTTGGCAAGGCTAGATCCCCTTAAAGATGAGGTTGTGCGGGCTGTCCAGATTTTACAACAAGTTACAACTACTTCAGTAATCCAACTAGTAGAGAGGGGTCGATCATTTTCCTCTAGGAAGAACAAATTCATCAACCAGGAACCAAAATTATTAGCTATGGAGGCTTCTGGGTGAATCCTTAGAGAGGAAGTAGTCCAAACTGCTCTTACAAAATCACACTTCAGTAGACAATGTAAAATGTCTTCTTCTGAATGAAGGCATAATTGGCAAATTGCATCCTTCAAAATTTTTTTCTTTACCCAAACTTTGTTCATTGCCAGAGCTCCTACAAAGGCTCTCCATAAAAAGAATTTGATCTTGTTTTGAATTTTGAGTTTCCAAAGATGCTTCCAGGCCTTTTCATAAATCTGAGAGGAAGAAATACGACTGGAACTAGGCCTAGTATTTTGTCTTCTACATTCTAGATTCCATGCTAAGTGATAGCCTGAGCGGACAGTGTAGTCCCCATTGGTAAAAAAGCTCCAGATCAACTTATCTTCTAAATTTGTGAGACACAAGAGAATCTTAAGGATTTGATCTCCTTCCTCTTAAGAGAACAGAGCTCTGATTAAGTTTCGGTTCCATCTTCTAGGATTGTCAAGTGTCAGATCATTAACTATTCAAATTGTGCAATTTGTTGGTTTGGGGGTGCTTATTTTGTTTTGAGGTAAGTATGGCACCCAAGGATCAGTCCAATGATCAATAAACCTACCATTCCCTGCTCTCCAAACAATGCCTTCTTTAAGTAAACTCAAACCAAATTGAATGCTCCTCCAGCCCCAAGATGGGCAATTTCCAAGCTTAGCATGAGTCAAAGAGGAATTTGGGTAACAAATACTTTTAAGGACTGAGGCCCAAGTAGAAGAAGGGTTTTGTAGGAGTCTCCAAGCTGTTTTGGCTAAAAGAGCCCAATTAAAATAGTCCAAACGCCTGAAACCCAAGTCCCCTCTAAACTTTCAAGCACATAACTTGTTCCAACTTACCCAAACCTTTCTTTCATCTTGTGGTTGTCCCCAAAAAAAGTTGGCCATCTAAGAGTTGATCTTCTGACAAATCCCTTGCGGAATTTTGAAATGATTCATCTAAAACAGTGAGGTTGGAGTGGCTATTGCTTTAATGAGTGTCTCTCTTCTTGCTTGGTTTTGCAAGGCCTGCTTCCATCTTTCAATTTTGGCACTCATACGATTTATTAGATTGGAGAAAATATGAGATTTGTTTTTGCCAATTTGGGTAGGGAGACCCAAATATCTTGCAATACCTCTACTTTCTTTGATGCCCAAGATACGGGAGATGATTCGATGAAACCTTGGGAGAGTGTTCTTACTGAAAACTACTTGCAATTTTGTATAATTGATGATCTGCCTGGATCCCTCCCCATAGCTAGAAAGAATTTCTTTAGTCTTAGATGCATTTTCAAGGTCAACTTTGAAAAATAGAATGTGTGGGAAACCGTAAAACCTTGGACAAAGGATGGGTATTGTTTCAGATGTAAAATTGAAGCCTTGGAATTCCTTAATGATGCTTCTGGTGTCATGTCTCCCAAGGCCATGCAAGATAACCGATCATGCATATGTGATATTAATTTAGAAAATCTTTCATTTTGTGTGGATGGTGGGTCGCATGACGATGTGTATAGTAGGGAGAAAGAAAACATTATGTTAGAAGATCGATAAGCTCTACCTTTCAATTGGAAACAGAGTCTAATCAGATGGATAAGGGGAAATCTCCTAAGGAGGTTATTGTTACAAATGTTGCCCAACCTATCAACATGGAAATCTAGAAAGATTGATGACCATTGGAATCTATGTATTTTTTGTCAATTCATTGGAGATTCGAAACCATTAAGGCTATTCAAATTAATGAATGGAAGATCGAACACAAAACGAACACCCAGACAACAAGTAATGGGTTTTACCTTCTTACATACCTTTATGTCTTGATCTGATTATGAGAAAGTTTTGAACAAGGGACAATGGATTATTAATGGAATTAAAATATTTTGTTATTGTCCCTTGAAAGGTTGCCTTCAACCCGCTTAGAGCTTAACTTGAGTCAGTTGACCTTTAGATTAAGCTCTTAGGTTTTCCACTTGCATTCTGGTCTAAGAAAGACCTTGAATTCATTCTTAGAGATGCCAGTGAAGTTCTAAAAATTCATGAAGACACAAAAAACATGTTTCATACAAATTTTCCTTGAGTTTGTGTTTGTGTTTGTTTGACCAAGCCTTTTGTTTTGACAATTCCTCTCATATCTAGGGATGACAATGGGGAAGGTTTTATAAATTCTAGACCCTACCCGCCTCCCTAAACTTCTCAACTCGTATCTGCCCTAAAACCTATAGTAGGTTGAATTTTGAGAATCTAAATCCTACCCGCACATGAAAATGTAAAACCCTCCCCGACCCTACCCTCCCCACATTCAAGGAAGGGTAGGGGCGGGTTGGGTTGGGTTTAGCTTAATATGTTGGTCGAGGAGGGTCAGGTTTAGCTTAATACCTATACATAAAGGCTATATGCTTTCCAACAATATGCAGGTCGATGAGGGTCTGATTTAGCTTAATACCATACCCTACCCATGCTCGTACGGGTTGTAGAATCCAAAAACCCGTCCCCGCCTCAAAACCCATTCTTCAATAAAAAAAAAAAAAAAAAAACTCATCCTATGAGGGAGGGTAGGGTGGGTACCAACTGGGTAGGGTAGAAATTGACACCCCTACTCGTATCTGGGGGGAAGAACAATCAATTAGAGTGTTTTATGAAAAAATTTTTGACTTATGTACCAACTATGGATGGAGGGGTCACAAATATTTTAATTGTCCAAAAATCAACAAAACTCCAATGGAAGAAGAGTGGATTATAGTTAGTAAAAGAAAGAACTATGGTCCAAGAAACCAAAACGCGAAGTTAGAAAGAATTTTGAGAAAATCAAAGAGAAATCATGGACAAATAAACGTAACCATTGGTCTATAGCTAAGGGCTAGAGGTTTGAGCATGCAAAAAAACATTTGAAAAGCAAGATTTCGTAATGCTAGTCATGCAACAATTGTTTCATCAATGCCTGTGAAGATAATCAATTGTGGTCCAAAAACCCACACAAATCAAGATTGTTGGACCCCTCAATCCAAACTGTGGTTCATTGTCTTAAATCAAACTAAATCAAGACTCTAATAATCTGAAACCAATTAATCCAAAACTTCTTAAAGGCAACGAAATCTGCAATGAAGATGATGATGCATTGCTGTGGGTGACGAAAATCTCAAGATGAAGATTTAGAGGGAGAGGATAACATGGGCAAAGATTGGGAAGCACAAATAGGCAATGAAAACCTGGATAATGTTCAAGTTGATGATGGAGCTGGCTCGTGCCCATAAGTGTGGTTTTTGTTTTTTAATGGAAATGAGAATCAACCCAACTAGAGCTAAGGTAAGGAAGTTGTTAGATCTCTTTCTTGTTTTGATGAATCCTTTATTGTTGAATCAATTGGTTTTTCTGTTGTAAACCAATGATAATAAGTTCAGAAGAAGAGTGGTGCTTTCCAGTCAAACCTGTGTGTTTAACGAGATGATTTTATTTGCAATTTATTAGATCTATGCATGGGTGGTGTGCAATTTACCTGGAAGAATAGCACCACTTGGGAGAGACTTGATTGAGTTCTCACAAATGATGAGTGGAGAAGAGAATTTCCTAACGTGATACTTGCAAATCCTCCTCTTACCATTGAACCTTCTTTCTTCTTGAGCCATGCAATTTACGAAAAAAAAAAGGATTTTTTTCAGTTCAAACAAAAAAAAGGATTTACTTGGGCAGCCAATGTACAAAGTTATTCACGTTCTTTCTGGATTTAAAGCTTCATTTCTTTGCTGCTACTTTGGGGAGTTGAGGGTTTAATGAGTAGGGTAAGATCCATTTGATGTTTCTTCTTTGCTCTAAGCCCTAACCAACTGGTATGGCCTTTACTTTTCTTGGTTTTTCCCAATTTTTTGTTGCCGTTCTTTTTTTTTTATTTGCGATCTTGTTCCTTTTGATTTCCTGTTTTGGAATTCAATAGGTTTATTTTGGTGGTTATTGCTTGGTGAATTTATCTCTAGTTTAGTTGCTTCCAACTTCCAAGATTATATTAAGTTACTTTTATTATCTTGATGCTTTCTCTTCCCCTTGATTTTTGAGATATTTGCTTGCTAGGCTCTTTGAAGGTCAGCCTTCTTTCGGTATTCAATCTAATCCGGTGGAGGGCAAGAGGGAAAAAAATCCTCGTAATAAATATTCTAAACAGAAATAGAGAAAGCGCCTTCAAACTATTTGAGAAAAGGCCAAAGAATGAAATCACCTGCTTGGCCTCTAGAAAGGCCACCTCCATCCACTCAGAAATTGACAACAAACCACATCAAAAAGGGCACCCATCCATAAGGGATTAAGTAGACCTATAGAGAGCAAAGCTCTTGGACTTACAAAATTATTAGTTTATTCTTAGAATTGGGATTATAAGCTTGGTAGTTTTTTTTTTTTTTTTTTTGTTGTCATCATATCAAAGGATTTGGATCCAACCCATCCATGCCAATCCTTCAAATAGCAACATGTGGTAAGTTATGGAAGGCCTAGACCCTATTTGTGGGCCCTACAACTCCCCATAAACATATCCATGGGCAAGAGATCTTCTGCACAAGAGATCATAATTTATATTTAAAAAGAAACATAAAAACTTCAAATATGTTTTTGTTAAATTGAACTATTTTTTTGTAATTTTACCATTTGGAGCAAATTATAATATTGAGAGCTAAATTAGCAGAATAGAAGTCTATACCTAATAGGTATGCCTATAATGGCCTATATTGTGACCATTTGAAAAAGAATTTCAAATTTCACAATGGCACATTTACAGGTTGCTAGACTACTAATTCTTTTTTGTAATTTCTTTCATTTGTGGAAAAGAATGCATACAATAATTTCTTTAATATATCTTCATGTTCTATTTTGTATTGATTCAATTTTGTTGAAGATGGAAGCTCTTGATCTTCAACAAATTACTTGGCATGGTTGTTTTAGTTTTTCTCTTTTATCTTTTCAAGAATCAGGAATCGAAGAAGAAAATACAATCAATTTTTATTGATTTACAGAAAAGGCCTTCTTGGTACAAAGAGATGGTCTATCTTACAAATAAGAAGATGAAGATGTGCACTGAACCAAGATATGCTATTATGAATATTATCTTTGTTTAGACTTATGGTTTGTTCAATATGAAGTGCCATGTTTTCTGATATTGTGAGTGGATGGTCAATGGATTGACTTGAACTAGTTTTGTAGAACAAAGTTTCCTTTTACGTGCTTATGAAGGACAAAGTATTTTAGCAAGAAAATATCTCCAAACCCCCTCCCATTTTGTGCTTTGCAGGTCCATAAGACTTGCAATGCATATGCTCTCATGTTTCATTCGTGAAAGTGAAAAACAAAAACATTTTATTTGTAAACCTTTTATTAGTTTATGTATGATTTGTTTTGACCTTTCTTCTTATCTTGTAGGAAAGAAACAATTACTGGAAGATGATGCACAATTATATGGGTTCAGATGCAACATCAGTGGTGATACTTCCTATTTTCATTTTTGAGCCAATGGTGATGCTTTAGAAAATGATGAGGTTTACCCTTCCCTTTTTCGAAATGAATTCCTGATTTCTTGTATTCTTTCATATCTCTAGTGCTTTGACTGCTTGAAACATCACATGTTTCAGTAATGGAGTATTCCCACTTGCTAGATCAGGCAGATAAATGTGAAGATCCTTACATGCGGCTTATGTATGATTGTAAGTTGTTTTCTATGATCCTAGATGTTTGCGAGACACACTAGTATTTTCTGGTATAAAATGGAGTTCTTTTGCCAATTGCAGCATATGAAATCATTGAAAAGTAGTACATGGTTTACTCTTTTGTCAGCTCGTTATGGTACAACTCTCAACCAACCATTGCAAAGCAAAGGTTAGTATGGTTTTCTTTCTCTTCCTTGCACATAAACTTTAACATTCTAATGCTTGACTCGCGAGGAGGAGCAGTGAGGAAATTCGAGAAACCCAAAGTTGAACGCCCAAAAGGAAGACAAGTATCATTAATATGTCAATTGGATACTATTGGAAAATTTTAAAGCTTTTAAGGTTGTTATAATGTTAATATGTCAATTGGATATTGTATTTGAACTTTTTGTATATAATTAATTCTTAAATTACTAGTTGTTTTAAGTTACATTTTTATTTATCAAAGTTTTCATGTATCAATCGTCATAATAAGTAGGCATATTAAAATGCTGAATCATTAGAAAAATTTAGGTACCAAAAATGCTGAAATTAAGTAGACATATAATTTTTTTTAAAAGAAAAAGGTCTATACTGGTGGTTAGTATCCGTTGGCTTAGGTATGAGCAAGATAGAAGTACGGGCCAGATAAGACATAAGGAGGCGGTCGATGTCGGCCACTTAGCTATTAACAAAACCAAAGGCGGTGGTCTACACCGCCACTATAAAAAGGGTGGGCTGTTTTACAATCACTAAGCCGGCAGTCATATGGCACCTCATCTAGGGCATTATGTCCTATAAAAATGAGTCAGGCATTATGTCTTCAAGAGGGATTAGGCAATGTGATCCTCTCTCTCTTCCACTTTTGTGTGTATGTGTGTGTGCGCGTATGTTAAAACTCTTATTAAGAAGCTTGAGAGTGAGATGGGCATTCCTAATAGTTCAATTGGCTGCCAAATTTGTAGGGGTGGTCTTTGTATCCCAATCTTGCAATTTTCTAATGATTGTTTTATTTTTTGTGAAATCTACCATTCCGGTCTATTTAGAGATAAAAAAAAGATTCTTAATAACTTTGTTAATTCTTCGAGGCAACTTCCAAATTTTACTAAATCTGCCCTCAGATTCTCGAAAAACATTCCTCATAGACTTCAGAGAATCATGTCTAGGATCCTTAGAATCCCTTTGGAGTCTAAGGCTGATCTTTATCTTGGTGATCCCCTCATTTTGGGAAGAGTTTTTAAGGATTTGAAGGGAAAGAGTGAGTAACAAGTTGGTGGGATGGAAGATGAGATCTCTTTCCTTTGCTAATAGGACTACACTTGTTAATTCAGTCACAAGTATGTAGCTCAGTTCATCCTGAAACCTTTCAAGGTGCCAAATAAAGAGTCAAAGGACCTTCTTATGGGCCAATAGTAATGGCAAAAAGCCTCTCCATTTTCTGGGATGGAATAAAGTTTGTAGGTCTAGGTGTGAAGATTCTTCATTGGGTTTAATAATGCAAATCTTGCAAAATTTGGGTGGAAAACTCTTAATGACAAGAAAATTTTGTGGGTCCAGATTGTTTCAAATAAATATTTAAAAAGGGATAATTGTTGGAAAGAAAAAGAAAAGAAAGGTATCTTTTGGGCTTATTGTGGTATCTTGCAGTCTAGATATCTCTTAAAGCGTGGTTTAGGATGGGGAGAGTGGGGGATGGTAGGTTGATTAAGTTTGGGGATGATTGTTGGATGGATGAAAGTTGTTGAGTGATGGGCTATGAAGCGTTTTTAATAAATGGGGGTTCGAATGTTCCTGATTGTACTTCCAGTAAGGACCGGGCCCTTAGGCTCCCTCCAAAAATAAAATTGTTTCTTTATTTTCTTCTTAATCATTGGCTTCCCACAAAGAGTTTCCTCCTTTTGCGAGGAATCCATATTGATGGTGCTTGTAGTTTCTAATTTTTGTGACGATAATGAGGATGTGGATCATATTTTTAAAAATTATTTATTATAATTGATTGTTAATAATAATTTGGTCGGTCCTAGGGATTCGGATAATAGTGTTAAAAATTGGTGGGATAATTTGGATAATGATTGAGTTGATGTTAATAAGGTTTGAGAAAAATGTGCTTTTGGTTTATTTGGAAAATAGGAATGATAAGGTTTTCAATGATAAAAACGTTCCTCCCCCAGTCATATGAGACCGTGTACTCAATTTGTGTTTAGACACTCAAAAATGTCTAAATCTCGATGGGGAGATGATGAAAGAAAAAAAATTGGTATCATATCTATTGCAAACACCCAAGAGGCAATGATTAAATTTAGTTTTGGGGAAGTGTTGTAAGTCAAAGCCTACCCCATTGGTTATACTTCCATTAATATAATTAAAACATGGGCAGTTTGGGAAATCCATAACGTTGCTAAGGGATTACATCTGATTTCTATTGAGGGGATTCTTTTTTGGTCATATCATGTCTCAAGAAGAAATCTAAATTAAGTGCCGTAGAGATTGAAGACTATTATTGAGGAATGCTGGAGATCTTGCGACCAATTGGACCATGGGGTGATGTATCATCATACCTTCTATCCGTGAAGCTAATTAGGCGGACTCCGGAAGCTCTATCCTCTCCTAATCCACCTCTTTCTTTTTCATTAGTTATAATCAACGTTTTAAAAAATGACCTAGAAATGGAATCGTTTTGAGCCATCAGTTTTCAGGTTGATGGTTCGATCATCCGATCATCCATTTTGAATGAGCGTCCTCTTTTGACAAATAAATTGAAAAAATAATTAAAAATAAAAAACAGTCAAAAACTATTGAATGGGTCAACGGATCAATAGATCGATAGAGTGTCTTGATTAATGGGTTATTGACTTTTCAACGGTCTTTGGCCAAAAATCAGGTTTAGGGTAAAATAGAACCAGTTGCCTGAACGGTTCCCAAGCCAAACGATCCAACCGTCCGGATCAACGACGATTCGAAACACTTGATTATAATTTATTAGAATGATTTCTGGGGCAGAGTTACCCCATCTTATGTAGCTATTCCTAGTTTTGCCAAAAAAAAAAAAAAGTAACAACTGTTTTTGTACAATAAAATAGAGATAGGGCTAATGTATTATAGTTTGGGTTGTAATCTAACTTGAATGGCCGCTCTCTCTAACCTTGGCAAGGAAGTATGTTTTTTGTTCACGTTAAGTTTCCTTGTTGATCTGGCATGGACCAACCTTTTAAGTGGGATAAATGGTAGCAGTGGTTGTATAGATGTTTTCTCATTCAAAGAATGAAATGATTCCCCAGCAAATGGTGGTCCACCTGAAATTATCAAAGAAAACATAACATTGAACAACAAAATTGAGTGGCCCATCAAATTTAAGTTGCCCTCTTAATTTAGGTTGTGTTTGGATAAGTTTCAATATTTGTGTTTTTAAAAGTCCAAAACCACAAAACCCCCCACCTTGTGCTTTGGGGCTTAAAAGCATTTTTTGACTTTGGATTTTTATGCTTTTTAAAGCAATCCTTATCAAATGCCCCAATTCACATCCCAAAAATTTATCCAAACAGAGCCTTAACATTAGTCATCTTAATCCGGGGTCATCTCTTTGGTTGGTGATGGTTCTATTTCACATACCACCCGATTTTCGTGGCTGGGGTCACTTTGGCAATTAAGTATACATTAGTAGGTTTTCTCCCCCTTCCTCTACCACTAAAATGGAACAAAAACGATTCAATTTGGGAGATGTTTGGTTTGGCAGGTAGGAACTAGGGAGACAGTACCCTCCGTGAGCCACTCACAAGCAATAAGCACATGGCCATGAAAGAAACCCCAAGAGAATAGAATAGAGAGAGTCCCAAATTTAAAAAAAAAAATGTGTATCAGCTGAGCATATCCCAACAAGTTTGAAAACTAGGCAATCTATAACAGTTTTTTTTAGATATAGAGCATCCATCACACTTGACAACCAAACAAAACACTGAAAATTAAAGTAATGCAAAATTAAACCGAGTTTGTACCCTTTAGTTTGAACAAATTTGCATTCATTTTTAGCATTTTTATTAAAACTACACAAGGCTCAATTTCGAAAGAGTATAAATACAAATATATACAATGTAAATACATACAAAATAATACAAAATTCAAGATTTTATACTTTACATATTTGTACTTGTACTCCTTATGCTCAGTTTGGAAGGAGTACGAATACAAATACGTAGAGCGCAAAACCTTATATTTTATATTATTTTGTATGTATTTATATTCTATATATTTATATTTGTATTTGGAAGGAATACGAATACAAATATATAAAATACAAATACATACAAAATATAAGGTTTTGCACTCTACATATTTGTATTTGTATTCCGTTCAAACTGAGCCTAAATTCCTTTGCATCAGATAAGGGTGCAACTTGGGTTGATATTTTGTCCAAAGAAAATTTTAAATTTAAATATAAAATATTATTAATCTATTGGGGCAAGCCCAGACTATAATCATCCTTATATTGTGGATAGGACTGTAAATGAATGGATATTAGTCCAACCCAATCCAGCAAACATAAGTCCATTACAGATGGACTGGGTCCAATCTAGTCTGATAAATTTTATGGACTTAAATGGTCCATTAAATATTGTTGGATCGTCCAATTGTCAACATAAACTTGGTCCATTGACACTCCTAATCTTATCTTTCATGAATAAACCAAATATTGATTTCACCCAACGGAGTCAAATATAAATCCATTAAAGAGAAACCAGGTCCAATCTATAAATACTTTGGATCCAATCCATTGACACCCCTAAATTATGAATATGTTTTTTAATTTGTATTGGCTAAATGTTTTAACCGTATGGCAAGCTATGGAGAATTCAGATCTTCTACTCACACCTCACATGCACATCTCAGCGTGTATTAAGAACATTTTCCATAGTTATCATTAGAAGATGTTCCTAATACATGATTGAAATATGTTGTAGAACGATTTTGGGGCACATTCTGTGGGGGCAGATTTGAACTCCGGCCCCACACCTACCCACAACACACTACAACTACAGCTGTACGCTGAAAACACCTCTCCATGACCGATAATGCGTAAATAACCAAGAAAGATGTTTTTTTTTTTCTTTTTTTATTCTAATTCCACAGGAAAACAGAACACAACAAACCACACAAACAAACACTAAAAAATGCATGGGAGATGGATAGGAGATCCGAGCTTGACTGTTGAACCAATGATAATGTCCCACGCATTGATAAAATACATGGGACCTCTACCCATACTGAGAGCTTTGGTTGTGGCCTTGTGGGCCCATGTATTTTATTTATGATTCATGTGGAGTACAGCTTGCTGAACAGCTATTGGGTTCAGCTAATCCTATCTCCACATTTGGTGTTGTATTGTGTTGTCGGTTGTAACTATTGTCCGCGGTTCTGCGCATTCATCCGGCTCCGAGTCTCAGCGTATCGGGAAAAAGAAGAAATAAGGGTTACCAACGATGAGGATGATTTGGTAATTTACTCTCAAAGGAAAAATACGGTACCATCTGCTGTCCGAAACGTTTTGCCACGTCAGCAATAAGAGACACGCGTTAATTTTGCGATTAAAATCTATGCCCAATATCCCATTCTCGGACAAGTGGTGAACTATGTCTCGGAGAGGACACATTGAAGTCAGAATAATAGGACATATCCGCTAGTACTGAGACTCAACTTTTTTTTTTCTTCTTTTCCTCTCGGCCAAAATCCAAATCGCTCGCAATCACGAAAACTCGGAAAAGTTTCGCCATCGCTGTCTCCTTTCGAGGTTCAGTTCGGATTGCATCTTCTTGGAACTGAAGAATTCTTCTATGAGCTCCCGCAATCTGAGAAGTCAGACCTTAAATTCAGAGATCCATATTGAAATCTGGAGCAATCACGGACTTCATCTCTCTCTGATTCACATCATTGCAACCCTGCAGTAGCTACTTGAAGCGACATCGAGCTCGTTCCTTGGAATTTGGTGCTGATTTTGTGCAAGTTGCATGAGGTATGAGGTTCGAGCTTTTCTTTGCTCCCTTTTTCATTGCGTTCCATGATCGTAATTCTCTGATTTAATCTACTCACACCATTACATGAGACGTTCATGCTGTTAAACACGGACAGATTCCTTCTGGTCATTCGTTCTTCTTAGTTATTATTTGTTTCTCAGGTGCCACTCCAATTTCACTGTAAAAGATGAACTGATCCGCAGGTTTTTCACCATATCATCTTTCACTTCATCTCCATTTTTAATCCCGTTTCTTTTTCTGAATAATTAGCAGAATTTTAATATTATTCTTTTTTAATTTTCACAGTTCAGGTTTTATATCGTCTTCGTCCTACATTACTCCAAATCCATTATCAAATTTCAGATTTTTATCAATTCTCTCGCGATTGAACCCAAGGACAGTCATTTTTTCACATGATCACTCTGCGCTAATTATCCTTCTTTCCACTTCCATACTTTAAGAAGTCACAATCAGACAGACTGCTTAAATGGCAGAAACAGCAAAACCAGTCTTGCAAAAACCGCCGGGTTATAGAGATCCAAACACACCAGTCCCCTCAGTCCGAAGACCACCACCAATCCGGAAACTCCCTCCATCGTTCCACCCTAAAACGAGGAATCGAGGCTGCCGTCGTTTCTGCTGTTGCTTCCTCTGCATTTTCGTCTTCACCGCTCTCGTCCTCGTGGCACTCGCCGGTGCACTCTTTTATCTCTGGTTCCAACCAAAACTACCGACATTCTACCTACGGTCGTTCCAGATGCCCCGCTTTAACGTCTCCGTTATGATCGACGGCACGTACCTCGACTCACAAACGGTCGTTAGGTTCGAAACCACCAACCCTAACCACAAGATAACGTTCTACTACGGTGAGAGTCAGGTTCGGGTGACCGTTGGCGAGGAGGACGGTGTTGATCTAGGGTCGACGTTCGTACCAGCATTCACTCAAGGGAGGAGGAACACGACGGTATTGAAGTTTGGGACCCAGGTGAAACACATGTTGATTGACGATGGCGACGGAACGAAGCTCAAGGCTGGGTTCCAAAGCAAGCAGCTGGTGATTTTCGTGGAGGTTCGGACTAAGGTCGGATTAGGTGTGCAGAGGTGGAGAATGGGGATGTTGAGCGTAAAAGTCTTGTGTGGGGACGTGAGTTTGAAGAAGCTGGAGGATGGTGCCATGCCCAGATGCGATGTCAATTTGCTCAAATGGTGAGATTTTTTTCTTATTTTCTTTCGTTCCATTTTCTTTATTAACCCCGTTCAATTCTATTAAGGAGACTTAGAAGAGATTAGTTAGTGTTGGACTGTCAATGGGTCAGTTCTATTCGATCAAATGGAACCGACTATATCAGTTTTGGTTCTGTGATTTAATTCCAATTAATAATTGGGTTGGTTCGGGTCTTCTTCCAGCTTAGCTTAGTTATAAAACCAAAACAGATTATTGAGTTAATAATATAAAAAGGTTTTCGGGTTTTTCTTGTAATTTTTATTATATCTAAAATGGATGAATGTGATAGAAAATATATAATTAAGATAATTTTAATTAAGAACATTTGATGTATTAACATATGAACAGTTTACTATTTTACTATGGGGTTTAAGTTTTATTAATAATGATAATTGAGGTGTCAGTATAATCAGGTCTCTAATCAAATCAGACCCAATTATCTGATAATTCTGGGTCTATGATTTTATCCTAATTAATGTAATTGGTTTAGGACTGATACACCTTTTCCGGAACCAAACCTAACCTATTGATAGCTCTAATTTAAGGCACTTAAAGCTTTAATGAAATCAAAGAATAGGTGAATTAGAAGCTTTAAGCCGGTTTGGACCAGGTAGGCACACAAAGTGAGCACATGAGTAAGCATTCAGAAAATGTTTTGACACCTGTCTCTTAAAATACCCCAACCTACCCTCCAAAGTCTTAAAAGAGTTTAAAAACAATTTTTTATACCGTTGTTACAATTTTTATCGAGTGCTCATTGAGAGAATTTTGGATCTGCTCCTCACACCAACCTCATAGTATGTTCCATCCACACATAGGGAGCATATTTCATCCTTGTATGTTGTTGATGTTCCCAATACATGGTGGGATGTGACGTGAGGTCTCACATCGGGACTATCTTCCATCTTTTATGGGAAGATGTTCCTAATACACGGTGGAATGTGATATGAGGTCTGTGTGAGGAGCAAATCACTATTCCATTGAGTGTACCTACTAGATCTAGACTCCTTTAAGCTGTGTTTAATTGGTTTGAATGAAAAGATAGGAAAAGGAAGGAAAAGATGGGAAAATATAGGTTTAAAACTTAGGATGTGTTTGGTTTGAAGAAAAATGTAGGGAAAGGAAGGAAAAGATGGGGAAGGTTGTGCTTAAGGGTAGTTTGCATATATTTCCCTACCTTTTCCTTCAATCCAAACTCAGAATTAATGAAAGAGAATAAGAAGGAGGGCTTAAAGCTTAATGAATAGAAAGTCTGATGGCAATAGATAGAGAGTACAAACAGCCGTGCCTTTCATAATGTGGACATTTATGTGCTGATGATTTGGGCACATCCAGATCCAGTTTTGATAAATGGAGAAAGGGGCAGAGAAACACAAAGCAAAACAATCTAATATTTTTTTAGAAGGAGATTTCAAATTTTCAAGCAAAGGAGAAGTTTCATTATAATTATCGTTTCTTAAAAGTTTTGAGTTGGACATGTAGGCACTGTGTTTTTGATAAATGGGTTGTCCTGATGACTAAACAACCCCTTTCCTGATAATACATTAGGTAATGTGTCTTTTTGTAAAGGCATTTTTACTATCAATTAGGGTGTGCTTTCATAATCAAAATAGGTGAAGTAATGGGTTGTGATTTGTGAGGGAACTTAACATCACTCACTTGCTTCGTATTTGCAGGATCAACCTACACTCGTAACAGAGGCTTGTGACTTGCGACTTGTAACTTATGACTTGAAACACAGAGGCTTGATTTTGGGTTTCTTCGCGATCTGTAGATATTTCTTTCGTGGAGCACAAATTAATATGCTCACCTTTATAGAGTGTGTTTTGCTAAAAAAAGAACAAACAAAAGATTGATGTACTCACCTTTATACAGTGTGTATGTGTTTTCCGAGCTAGCTGTAATTTGTATTGGAGTGAAACTCTTACATAGCCAACTGTAATTTATGGATCACAAAAAGCGATGCTAAGATGAGCACGGTAAAGGAAAAGGGCTGCCCCATCCCCATCTTGGCAAGAGTGGATTAGCAGTTGGTTGGTGATTTGACGCTCCATAGCCGCATGACAACACGGTAAAGGAAGCTATGGAGACAGGCATTTTGTCAAACAGGATCATGTCAATATTTTCAGCTTTATGTTTTAGCCTTCAGAGTTCAGACTGAGATTTCGGATTTGGGTCAGTAGACTCAGTACACAAATATGAAAGATTCTTACGCGAGGTGGGTTGCGTTAAAAATTAATGGGCCCAAATTGTAATCCTTACGTCTCTCTCTCTTTTCTATTGCTCTTTCTTTGGCACATTAGTCCTTGTAAACGGATTTCTATTTTCGATTTTTCACTGGTTCAGTGGTTTGTTAAAATTGAAGCGCAATGGTTTCAGTAAGAAGGAATACCTTATTATTGTGTAGTAGAAATATAGACGAGGTGGTCCGGCTCCGGCAGTCCAATCCACACAATTTTCGTGTAACACGATATCGATTCTGGACAAGGAAGTGGGCAGGTGGCTAATTTAAAACGTATCCAATTGGAGAGTCCACATCTCCACCCTACAGCACATCCCAGCCGTGTATTGAGAACATCATCATCAGGAGTGGTACTATCATCGGGAGATGTTCCCAATACACGGTGGGAATGTGCTGTGGGACGTTGTGGGGCGGAGTCAGGATCTTCTCAGATCCTTACAGTGTGCGCCTCACATATCAGGAACACCTCTTGTCTTTGAATTTATTGTTCATGGAGAGATTTCCCAATACAGGGTGGGATGTGGCTATAAAGTCGGTGTGAGGCGCGATATGTGAGGAGCATATCCCAATTCTGTGTTTACATTTTATGGAAGTGTCTTGTCTTATTCTGGTAATAGCTTCTCAGCATCTAGGATTAATTAGGGAATTGAGATATGCTCCTCACAGCCACATCCCACCCTGTATTGGAAACATCTTCCCATGAATAATAAATGCAAATATGGGAGATGTTCCTAATGTGCGGTCAGGACATGCTGTGAGATCGGTGTGAGGTGCACTCTGTGAGGAGCAGATCCAGACTCTTAATTAGGGCCTTTACTCCGGAAGAAGTGGCGAGTTTTTCTCAATCCAATGTGTGGGTTCTATTTGGGCAGGCCCAACTCGAGAATTTATACTAGTTGAACTTGAATTTTCAAAGTTGGACCAAGCCTAGGCCAGAAAATTGGGGCTTGAACTTGGCAAATTCATTTATAAAAGATTTATGAGATTATGTTGGAGAATACGGGTTCTTTAAATGTTGTTACTAAGGTCTTAATTGCTACGGTGGAATTTCATTTATAAAAGATTTATGAGATTATGTTAAGGTTGTGGGTTTTTAGTTAAAACAATTATTGTCATTAGGTTTAAATCCGATAACAAACAAGTAAATCCTTGTTTGCTTATGAGCATGTGGCATTGTCTCATACCTAATCTTGGTTTGGGGTGCGACTAAGGGAAAGATGAGCCATTGACACAACATCCACTTGCTTATAGTGGATCATGGAAAACCTTGAGAAGCATTTAGACATCCATGTGAAGTTGTTCTTGGAGATTGCAAGGGTGGTGAAGCTTGAAGAAGAAATCAAAGAGGAATTTCTATAGAAGATGCCATATCTAAAGGCCATGGTGTTGGAGGGTTTGGTGAGACACCCACCAACATATCCAATGTTGGAGCCAAGAATTTTCTTTCTTTTTTTTTTTTTTGTTCTTGGGGGGTGATCCTTAACATTTTAGTTATTTATTTATTTATTTTTTGACTGGGGGGGACCCCACCATTATACTTGGCTCTGCTCCTGAACACATCGTTTGGTGATAAGTGATTTTGGCAACGATAGAGAGGGAGAAAAAAAAGGAGAAAGATAGTAGTAAAGAAAGGGAAGAAGAATGAATAAGGAGAAGAATTAGAAGAATAAATAAAAATTGAAGCAACTAGCAAACTAATATGCCTCTTCCCATGTTCGCTAGTTGTGCATAAGATGGGAGAGAGAGAATGAGGGAGAAGAAAGAGAAGAGGAATAGAAAGGAAGGAAGGATTTAGAAAAGAAAAAAATATATATATCCTCAAAGAACCTCTTGCCAATTGTTGTAGTGTTTGACGAAAATTTTCTGTTCAGGCCTATCTGAAATGGAATTACCGGCACCGGTGGAGTCTAGCAAGGCTAGAAGATCATTGAACGAGGTTTTCCGTTTGAAGGCTGGCCATGGAGAGAAGATGAAGATGGCAGAACCGCAAGTTCCTCTTTACTCAAAAACTGCTCGTGCCATCAACATGGATGAGCTTAGGAAAGAATAGAAAATGGAAGAGTGTTGGTCGTTATGTCTCTATGCCAAGATATTAGGTGTAGTTGAACCGTTCAATGCTATCCTTGAGAAAGCCAAAGCTTGGAAAGTTGACAGCAAAACAAAGATTCAATCAATAGGTAATGGTTTTTACCTGTTGTCTTTCTCATCTCTTGCTGACTATAATAAGGTTATTAAGAATGGCCCATGGATGGTCAATGGGAAGTATCTAGTCACCTTCCCATGGAGACCTGGCTTTAATCCTCTCAAAGCGAAGCTCGAAATTGCTGACCTTTGGATTAGATTGCCAGGCCTGCCACTGGAGTGCTGGAATAGAGAAGATTTTGAAGTTATTCTGAGAGATGTTAGGGATGCGATTAAACTAGGTATTGAAACAAAAAGAATGTCCTGAACTGTTTTTCCAAGGGTTTGTGTTAAGGTCAATCTCAATAGACCTTTTGTCCTTGATATTCCTCTTACAGGTGAGGGGGATGAAAATACTATTAGGGGACGTTCTGTTTTTGGATTTTGAGAGGGGAAAAATTGGTCAATGGGATTTTAGTTCCTATTGACCAAGAATCTCATACTCTTTTTTCAGATTTATGAGGGGACTAGGAAAAGTTTATTTTCTTAGGTATCACTTATCTGGGTAAGTGATACCCATCTCCGAGGTGGGTAAATAACTTTCTCGCCTAAAGGGAAAGTTGCCAACACTTTAATGTGACAAAAATGCCCCTTTTAATAATGGAATTTTATGAGTAAAATGGCCATTGCCTTATTTACATGAGAAATAAAAGAACATACACAAATGTACTTACCCGGATAAGTGTTTCCCAAGAAAAACTTACCCAACTAACTGCATTTACCTGGGTAAATAACTTACCGAAAAGCGAACGAGGCCTTAAAGTATTTTATGAAAACATTTTTGACCTTTGTATAAATTGTGGATGGAGAGGGCATAAGACATTTGAATGCCCAAAGTCTCAGAGAACTAATCAAGATGAAGGTTGGATCTTGGTTAAACAGTGTAAATTTCAAAAGCTCTCAAGAAACCCTACCCCCCAAGATAAAATTTTTTCAGGTTTTGAATGCTCAAAATCAAGCAATTGGATCAGCAAGCAAAATAATTGGAACCAAGCAAAATTTCAAAGGGTTGTTCATGCTAGAAACCATTCCAAAACAAGATTTTCTAATCATGGTATAGCTACGATTGAGTCTTGGAATAGCTTTCAACCAATTCAGTGTTGGGTCCTAAAAGAAGGTAAAAGAACAAACTACACCAACAATGGTTTTCAAAACCCCAGATCTCCCGCAAATTACAAAGTCAATAAAGTTGTAAATGAGGACGATCTCAAAAACTATGAATTCCAAGATGGGGATCTGAATGATAAAGATGAAGACTTTGAAGGAGAAGGAAATGAAGCTGATGAAGATGTTGATGATGATCTAATGGATGAAGAGTGGGAAGAAAATGTTCAAGCCAATGTTGTGATATTGAATGCTGAAGAAAACGTTATCAAAAAAACCCATGACAGCAGCTGCAAGAAAAAAATGGTAGAAGATTTGGACAATATGGGTCCTGAAAATAGTTTAGTTTGCAAATGAATATTATTAGTTGGAATGTAAGGGGGCTGGTAGGCCCTGTTTGCAAAGACATGTTATTAATTTAATTAAGTCTCATAGGCCTGCTATTTGTTTTTTGATGGAAACAAGAGTTAATCCAGACCATGTAGAAAAAAATTGTTAAAAAAATAATTTTGATGATTATGTCCTCATTGATCCAATCGGTTTTTCGGGGGGGTCTTTGGATTCTTTGGGACCGGACTCAATGCACCCTTCAACTTACCTTCTCTAATGATAGAATGGCTCACTCTAATTAACTGTGTCTTTGTAAATCAACCTTGGAGAGGATTATTTCCAAATGTTCTTCTCTCAAACTTACCTTTCGCTGCTTCGGACCACTCCCAAATTCGCCTACATACAAACTTGGAAATTTTCATAGGTCCTAAACCTTTCAAGTTCGAAGCTATGTGGTGTATGGACCCAAATATTGTTGAGGTTGTAAGTAAAGGTTGGAGCATTGAAGTTGATGGTTCTAGAGCAATCAAATTTGTTGAAAAGAGAAACAACCTTGCCAAAGAGCTAAGGAAATTGAGCAAATCCCAATTTGGAGACACCTTTGAAAAAAGAAAAATCTAATAAATAGATTGAATCAAGTTCAAAAAACAAACATTTCAGATGACCCAAATAATATTACCCTTAAAAATCTAGAAAATGCACTCCAAAAATAACTTGATAAGTTGTTGGAAAGAAAAGAGGCATATTGGGCACAAAGAGCGCGAATTGATTGGATCAAATTGGGAGATAGAAACAATAAGTTCTTACATACAATGGCTACCATTATGAAATCCAGAAATAGAATTATAAAAATTAAAAATGATATGGGGGAATGGATCACCAACCATTCAGGTATTGCAAACCACTTCACAGAAAAATTTAATCAGAGGTTTAAATCTAGAGGCACTTATAGAGGTGAAAACTTTATAAATAAGGTTGATCAATGTATCACCGAGGAGCAAAATGTTCAAATATCCAAAGATGTTACAAATGATGATATTCGAGAAGCTCTTGAGTCTATGAAGGATCTCAAGGCTCCTGGCCTGGATGGCCTTAATGTTTTATTTAAAAAAAATGGAATATTATAGAAAATTCAGTGTGTAATGTGGTTAAAGCATTCTTTCACAGTGGAAAGTTGTGTGGGATTTTGAACCAAACTTTTATCACCCTCATCCCAAAAAAAGAAGAACACATAAATTGTAAATGATTATAGGCCAATTAGTCTATGTAATGTCATTTATAAAATCATTACTAAAATCCTTGTAAATAGGATTAAACATCTCCTAGATAATATCATCTCCCCATATTAGAGTGCCTTTGTGCCCAATTGGTAGATAAACGACAATATCCTAATTGCACATGAGATGATTCACACCATGAAGAAGAAAAAAGGAAGCATAGGGATAATGGCGTGTAAAATTGATATGGAGAAGGCTTATGA